CTGTTATAGTGTGAATAACCCCGCACACCACTTTGTCAGAATCAACTGTGGCCATTTAGAGCTCAAGGACAACCTCCCTGCCAAATCTGAGGTTGCTTAGCCAGTGCATTGCTAAGTTATGTATACTATATGCTTCAAATGTGAAAATGTCAAATCAATTCACTGTGGACAGACATTCTTAAGCATTTGAGCAGACAAGGTTATTGTAGTAAAATCCCTGTGACCTTGACTTTTGACATAGTCACCTTAAAATCAAAAGGGGTCATCTACTAGGTATAAATAACCTCAATACTAAATATGAAGACTGTTGAAGCATTGTTAAGCAATTGAGCAGACAAGCTTTTTTTAGTTAAGGCCCCTGTGACCTTGACCGTTGACCCAATGACTTTAAAATCAATAGGGGTCCCCTAATGGTCATGATCAACCTTCATGCCAAATATGAAGACAGTGAGTCAAAACTTTCTTAAGTTATTGGGCAGACAAACTTTTTGAAGCAAAGTCTCTTTGACTTTGACCTGGTGACCTTAATCAAAAGGGATCATCTACTTATCATGACCAATCTAAATACCAAATAAAAAGACTGTGGGTCAAAGGAATCTTTAAGTTATTGGACGTACAAACTTTTTGATGTCAAGGCCCCTGTGACATTGACCTTTGACCCAGTGACCTCTTAATCAATAGGAATCATCTACTTACCATGACCAATCTTAATACCAAACATCATGACTGTGGGTCAAAGGACTCTTAAGTTATTGGGCGGACAAGGTTTTAGAAGTCAAGGCCCCTGTGACCTTGACCCAGTGACCTCAAAATCAATCGGGGAACATTTACTAATCATGACCAATGTAAATACCAAACAACAAGACTGTGGGTCAAAATCTATAGGGATCATCTACTATTCATGACCAATGTAAAATACCAAAGAATATTGAGTTATTGGGCGGACAATGAAAACCCGACGGACGGCCGGAAAGGGCGACGGCGGACGGACAAGCTGATTCCAGTTTACCCCCTTACAACTTCGTTGTGCGGGGGTAAAATTCTGTGTGCCCTATATGGCAGAAGAAGTTGCGAAACAATGGGCGGAAATGTTTAACATGAAAATCAATATTGATGTATACATACATGAAACAAAAGTTAAGCCAAAATAATTAATACATATGTCTGTAGTGCTGCCAAATATTTAAATGATTTGGCATAAATCGTGCAATCATGTAGATGACTACAAATAATGAGATGGAGTCACGAAACGTCAGAATTGATATTAATATCAATCCAGATGTATAACTTGAGTCAAAATGTCGTATTTGCAATGTTTAGGTGTAGATAACCATTTTTATGCATATTGATCATACTTTCAATCAACTTCCAGCCAGAACGACTTCACTTTTTTTATTCAAACACTTTCGAGGAAGATCTCGGGTTTCGATTTTCTTAATTTCTCTCTGCAGGTTAAAATGGACCATCAAGTATATTTTACCCAATTTGTTTTATGCTCTCTTATTGTTATAAATGAATATTTCAAAATTATATGTAACGTTTTAAGAAAAAAAGGACATAATTAAGTAAATATATTTTTTTTGTAAGTATATCATTAAATGTGAAGTTATATACCTATGTCGCACACTAAGATTTTTTTCTCATGTATACATTTGTTCAAAAGCATTGCAATAATGACAGTACTTCTTGTCTGTTTGCATATGAACTTTGTATATTGCAAAACTGTTTGAGAGCAGACAATATAAATGAAAATAAGTAATTGGATATTCATTATGATTTTATTTGATACTGTTATGGTATCATAAACATTTTAGGTAGTTCTTTAGTTTTAGTTTTTCTCTTAAATAAAAAAAACAACTAGGCAAAAAATACTGTTTCCTGACTCTTTTTATTTTACTTTTAAATACAAATTGCGATGTTTAAACGTGTGGTTGCAACGCAAGATGTAAAGATTTATTAATAAAAATTATTTGGAAAAAAAGGTGATCTCTCGGATGATTTAAAAACATCAAAATTACATGAAAATTTTAGACTTGGCTTGATTGAGTCTGTGTATGAGGGATAATGAATAGGTGCAACATCCTTCAGGTCCCCTAGCACCGGCTTGAGCGGTACTCCATACTCAAAACTTAATAGTGCTGGCATAAATGATCCCGAAGGACCAGAAAAAAATAACAACACTTAAGTGAAGTTGCCACACGGCACTTGACACCTGCTGTTGTGGAATATAAAAATCTGGAAACAAAGTAATCCCTCGAAAGCATTAATCGCAAAAAAATACATTAAAATTGCAAACTCGGTTTGATTGAGTCTATGCATGACACTAATTGTCAAATGCAATAGAAGAAAAATGGGATCAAAACTGACAATGAGCAATTTTTTAGAAAATTATAACAGTGCACCAAAATAAAAAAAGCTTTAGCGAAGTAAAACTTAATGCATATCCGGGGCATATTGGGCATGTCAGATGGCCTGGGTATTTTCATTCAACATAGTTATGTTAGTCTAAGCCAAGCAGTTAAAATGACATCAGATTTAATGCTATAAATATTTTCAATTTAATCCATTACCAATTTCTAGCTTACGAAACGTTTGTGGTTCTACTCGGGTGCCCGTTCGTGCCTGAATAATGCACGGAAGGGCACCTGAGGTCTTCCTCCACCAGTAAAGCTGGAACGTCGCCAAAGGACCTATACTGTGTCGGTGTGACGTAAAACCCAAACAAACAAACAAAACCAATTTACCTTCAATAAAATTATCAACATCTTTTCAGAAATTCTCAATGTAAGCACACATTTTGTCAAATAAACACAGCTTTTTAATACATGAAAATCCTTCCGTTCAATAAACGACCACAATGGTGACGTAAAAAATAATGAATCCACTCTAATGCCTTGACACCAGCAAGAGAAAAAAAATCAAGATTAACATCATGTATATATCATGTATATCTACCGAAAACGAAAAACTGATAGAAGTTATCTGTTTGAGGCATCAAAGTCAATGTATTCTTTCATTTGTTCATGCATAAAATACACATGAATATTTGCATTTTCAAAGAGAATGTTGACATAATATTTCCATGGTACCGTTGTTTCGTCACACTTTCAATTAAGTGGTGTAAGTGGCAAATATCCATAAACACCACTCTTGGCATCCCCGTCGCAAGATAAAGCTTTACTGGCAGTGCGGGTCAATCTCACTGTTCCAGATACATGTAATTTAAAAGAAGAATCATAGATTGGCACTTCCTTATCAAAATGACAAGTTTCAATAATTTTTAAACGTTTGATCGCTGTTTTTCAATATGACTGTGCAAGAGATGCAATCCACAGAAAAATTATCAAGTGGTGTTAAGAATTTTAGCTCTCCATCATTTAATAAATCCCAGTTTTCTCCCATTCGGTCTTTCAAAATATCTGTTCTATATGATGTAAAAATGTCATCAAATTTAACTTTTGTTGCTGCTCTGTCAGACAAAATAGAACTGAATTTAAAATAATTTATTTTCTTGGATCATCATCACAATTGTGTTCGATTGTTTCAATATCATTAAGAATATTTTCTAATGCTTTCATTGTGTAGTAACAATCTGTCTTATTTCTAGTGGAAAGTATCGCTTGTTTTCTGTTAAATGAAAACCTTTATCTTTTTTGACAGATTTGGATGTTTCGTCTGATAAAGACATATTTTGCTCGTGTGGCAGTACTTCTGCTAAATGTCTTTGTGAGTCGATAAGCCTTTCAATAGTAATGTTACGTATTAACTGATGGAGGACAATTTGGTTTTTATATTGACTAATTTTAAAACTCAGAAATAACACGAAAAATATTGCTACTAGTAACATTCGTACTTAAATGATCAAATACGCACTCTTGTGTTTCAAGTTTTAAACAATTTTGTAATCGTTTGAATTGTTTCAAGTCTTTTCATCATTGGCGAACAATATGATTGGAGGTTATCGTTTTTTTAATTGGTTACTAATTTCCTTTTTTCATAATTTCAATACTATCCTTTAAAAGAATGGGGTTTTTTTCTTTACATTTTCGTATTTTTGGTCCATTCTTTTGTCTTTTTATATATGTTCTTGCTGATCTTAATTTGTTTATAAGTATTTTTCTTTCTAATACTCGATTTGAGAGACCTGTATAGTATTCTTGCATTTTTTGTACTTTTTTAAATTTCTTTCTATCACTTTGTGCCTGTCTCAACTTTGTAGCCAGTTATTTTTTTAAGGTTATGATTTTCTTTTTGCAATTCAGCATTTTCTTAATTATAATATTTACCATTATCTTTTGACAGTCCAATTATGACATTATTGGCAATTTAAAAGTCTTCTGTCCAAATTTATTTAATTCTTATTCAATACAATTTTGCTTTATCTGTTGTCTCTTTGGGAAATCAAATTTTTGGCTTCAAAACATTTCAAATTCTCAGCATGGAAATGTTTGTTTTTGGATTTTTGCAAGTTCTTATATTGATATTGGCTTATTATCTTCTCTATAAAATGCTTTCCCCATGCAAAAAACAAACAAACAACAAACATTAACAAACATAATCAATACATAAAGGGCATCAACTATTCTGAAGTTAAGAATTTGCTTTTATAGTATGAATTATAATATCCATTTTCTTGTAGCGAAAAATAAAACATTATAAATAAATTAAATGTATCATTTCTTACAGTCTGCAATGTAGTTCTTTGAATATATCTCAGTCATTGCTCCACAAGATGAACAATAACAAGCTGTAACCAAGTCTTGTCTCCTCTCAATTTCATAACTTATGAAATAAAAATATAAAAGATAAATTATTTTTATAATGATTTATCATAGTATATGGTATTATATTGTGTCATTGAACCATCATTATCTTATATTGACATACATAATGTTATACAATTGAAATTTATAGAATTTTTTTTACTTGTTGTCAAAGTTGGCTCTAAGAATCTAATGAGGCCAGGTATTTTGGATACATGAAGAATTCTATTTAACGAGTTAAACCTCTTGTGTCATTGAAACTACAAATATTCTCATCCCGACTGTATCTTTACAACTGTAAAATACAAAAGAATAATTTTATCAAGAACATGTAAATATATTTTCTTTTTCGGCTAAATTCCCGTTTTTACTTCATTTATATAATTAAAGTGAATTAAGTAATGGATTATTACATCCTATTTAAGTGTTTTGGTCAAAGAAACTTTTACGAAGAAACAATGAGCTTTAAGTTGTTTAATTTCTGCATTTGTTTTGAGGTTCAAATAGTTTAGCTTTTAGAACTTTCTGACATAATTGAAATAATTGTAATTAATTATTTTTGTGATACAAAATAACAATGGCATAAAAAGAAAAAAATGTAAGTATTTGTTAATACATTACATAATAATTGATTTCAGTATCATAATCTGAAGGTGGCTGTGTAGATATGTCACTGTTTATTTGATCGTCTGATTGTGACTGTGTAGATATGTCACTGTTTATATCACTGTCTGATGGTGACTGTGTAGTTATGTCACTGTTTATTTGATAGTCTGATGGTAGCTGGGTTGATATGTCACTGTTTATTTGATCGTCTGATGGTGGCTGGGTAAATATGTCACTGTTTATTTGATCGTCTGACGGTGGCTGAGTAGATATGTCACTGTTTATTTCATTGTCTGATGATGGTTGCGTAGATATATCACTGTATATTGCATTGTCTGATTGTGGCTGGGTAGATATGTCTCTGTTTATTTCATTGTCTGATGATGGCTGTGTAAATATGACACTGTTTATTGCATTGTCTGATTGTGGCTGGGTAGATATGTCTCTGTTTATTTCATTGTCTGAGGATGGCTGTGTAGATATGTCACTGTTTATTGCATTGTCTGATTGTGGCTGGGTAGATATGTCTCCGTTTATTTTATTGTTTGACGATAAATGATTAGATATGCCACTGTTTATTTCATTGTCTGATGGTAGTTCTGTTTATTTCATTTATTTATTGTGGCTAGGTAGATATGTCACTGTTTATTTCACTGTCTGATGGTGGCTGGAAAGATGTTTCACTGTTTGTTTCATTGTCCGATGGTGGTTGGGTAGACAGTGTTCTATTAAAGCAGCGATTTAATTATAAATATATTGTGAAATAAAACCACTTTTATAATACTTAATATAACAGTAAGCAAAGACTTTGTACAGGGAAGTCATACAAAAAATATTGCTTATTTCTTTGTTGACTTCCATTTTCAATTACATCACCAAGACAATAAGTTGTTGCTTTTTTGGAATACTAGTACCTCTTCGATTGCATTTTAGTTACATTAAGAGTCCAACTAAAAATGCCCCGGATATTTCAATGATGGGTATATAAATATATGTTTTTTTAATTGTTTTTTTTTATTTCCCTTTCCTCGTAAATATATTGTCTGTAGCGAAGGCCTGTGCCTGCGACTTTGCCTACACATATTCGTTGTCATCGTCCATTTGTTGGTTGAGGGCATCTCCCTTACAGTTACAGAGTTGTGACAAGTATTTTTTTAAGTAATGGGAAGTGTAAAGATAAACATTATGAAACATACCATATTTACATAGCTTTTAGATAACGACTGAGATGTATTTATTGATGTGTCAGTGTCACTATCAGATGAAATAACAATTACATCAATTGTTTCTGAATCACTATCCAAAATAATTAAAAATATTTCAAATTTGTTCATCTGAAGTTTAGTAAAATATTATTTCAAACTGTCTTAAATATTTTTCTTACTTTAGAACATAATTGAAAGTGGGAGTGGCTACATACTGAAGAAACTATATGGAAATATGATAAAAATAGTGTCATGTCATTACACATGTACTGAATGAATATCATATAAAAAAATCCAAAAATCCGATAGCTTGTGTTAATCTTCTGTGTCTACGCGTTCCAGCTATTTAAATCTCGCACGGTTACGTTCCTCCAAAAGGGCGGGTCACCAAAGAAACATAACTCTTGAAAATCCTACGATCAAAGTTCGGCAACGTTCGACATTTGCTTGAAATCCATTTTTCAATATTCATTTTTTTTTCTGAAAAAACTCATCAAACCGGTTAATAAAAAGTGAATAAAAATATTTTTTCTTCCTGTTGTTAGTGGTTTAAGAAAAAAATTCTGTTTAGCATCTGAACTGTGAAGGCATTGCTTAAAATTACATTTTTTAAGTATTAACGGAATTTGTAATTCTGTTCCGAAACCGTTTGTTTTCATTCTTTTTAAGTTTATACCGTACTAAAATTGTCGTTTGTACGAAGTACATGACACTGAAGATAACTTAAAGCTATTTATAAAAAATATTTATCCTTTTTCTGCATAATTGTATTGTTTTATACTTAAAAAAGTAAGGTTTTCAATAATGAGCAATTCATTTAAGGTATATACGACATGGCGCCATATTATTTGATAATCCGTTGTTATCGTTAATTCCGAGTTGTAATTCATTCAACTTTAATACCTGTCCTTGTCCTGCATCAGTAATTTATCGAAATATCCACTTATGATGGCATAATGACCGTGTATTATCACTTCCCTCTATTAATCAAGTCGTCTCTTGCTCTACGCAGTTTACGCATGCGCTAATCTGGACTTCTGTTGTTAGGCAAATTTCATATCGTAAAAGGGTCTTTATGCGGCATGCATTTATTTTGAGCTTGTTAATTGTGTGTGATTATTGTTGCTTAATAAGCAAGTACGAGTTTCTCTTCACCAATTCCATTGTATAGTTAGATATATTTGAAGTATTTTAGGCATATCTTGTTATCTGAACAGAATTTTACGTCAAAGTAGAATCCCTCAAGAACGCCAAAGTCAAAGGTGAAAATTTATATTCTAAATTATGATCACCCCAAATCATGAACTTTGATGAAAAAAATTGAACAAAATATAAAACAAATGATGAAAGATCATTTTTTCAACATGATTTATCCTTTGTTTGCTACATGCTTACAAAGTCGAGGCTAACGCACTATTTTCGTGAATGATGCAATCAAAATATCGAATTGAATATAGATTTGTTTGTTTGGTTGTTTCATTTTATGCCTTTCCCAAACAGTATTTTAGTCATATAGGCGGGTAGTTTCCTAACAATCGTTCCTGGAGAGTTACACCAGTACTAGACTACCTTCCTCCGTGCTAAACTACCAAAGCATCTCCCGGGGATCAAACCCACGCCAGAGAGGTAACTGGATTAGAAGTCATCGAGTCTAGACGTAGACATTCTAATGCACAGTAAAAATACAGGACCTAAAATCTAGATATATAACTGTTTCATTTTCTCATAGCTGATACTGATCCTGTTATCGCTGACATATATGTGATTGTTCACCGACATTGTAAGACCTTCTTGATAACAATTCATTAAGCGTAGTGTGTGAGCTTAGTATTGAGCCACATTTGTACATGTATTCAGGTCATGTCATTTCTTTATAAAACGGTCATATAAAAGTGAATTGCAAATAAAGAAGATTTTTTCAATAAACTGAAGTGTTTACGGTTTTCTATCTTTTTTCGGACGAAGACCGTCTGAGAACAGTTTGTTTTCCTGTAACATATACAAGGACGAACTGAAAATAGGTAGGATTTATATTGGTCATTTAAAATAAAAATTTCAAACGGAAATCAGGGAATTTCATTGGACATTCTAAAATTATCAAAACAATATAAAGGATCTTTCTGAAACGTATGCACTAAAATAACTAAAGGAGTTTCGGAAACAAAGTTCCTAGTGACATGAGACATATGAACCGTGCTTTCTCCCATGAAACATTTTACATCAGTTAACACTGCTTTACAATTTCATTAATAACTAATGAACAGCTTTTTAGTATAAGAATTGACCATGATAAAGATGACATTTTATAGGTTTTGTGTAAAATAACGAGACCAGCAATAACGCTCACGATCATGGACACGCATTTGCATGAACATTTCGAAAAACACCGAGTTCTTCTGGCACTCTCCGTAGATTATGTTCAGTGTTGAATGATATGATATTAAAATATATGTGTTCAGTTGATTTGAATATCATGATTCTTGTACATGCATCTTTACATATTAATGAAGCACATATTGTGTTCGTAATGAATAAGGCAGTGTAATGTGCAATTATCATAACAAGACAGTTTCATTGTTACAGAATCTCCTAGATCTTATCATAAAATGCTATGTCGACTGCAATAAAAGTAATTTTCAAAAAAATTTAAACAAATGAAGGTTGCTTGGAATCTTAAGGATTTTTTCGGTATTTCCCCAAAAGTTCAAGGATACTAGATTAATAATGTTTGAAATATATAAGGAAAGAATAACCATTTGCACAAGTAATTACTGTTTTTATTAAACAATTACTAAACTAACATTTCAGTATGTATAAGATACTTTGAAACACCAGTTGCAAGTAAAATAATATTTTCTTCGGCGAGTATCTTTTTAAAGATACTTCTTGTTTCATTTTAAATTGAATTATTCCTGTTATGAAATTTGGTAAAATACGGGTTATGGGTGAACACTGGAAAAATAAAATTGTCTTGTTTTACAACACCACCCTTATAATACTGTGGTCTCGTACGATTCCATACGATTTATATACGATTTTGGCACGGTCAGGCTCACTCGTGGAGTGTTCTTCAAATACGGTCGTATATACGGTCTCACACGGTCTCTTACGGTCTTGTACGGTCGTTTATACGATCTTACACGGACATTACATCCGTACCAGTTTTTTAAAAGTTTTAAAAATCATACACGGCTTACACGGATACACTCGAATGGCCCGAGTGTAACTCGGTTAAACTCACGGTTAGTTCGGTTGTATGTACGGTTTACACGGGTGGCCAACCGTATAAGCCGTGTGTCCTGTGTGAGATGGGCTTAACACTGCTTTACAATTTCATTAATAACTAATGAACAGCTTTTTAGTATAAGAATTGACCATGATAAAGATGACATTTTATAGGTTTTGTGTAAAATAACGAGACCAGCAATAACGCTCACGATCATGGACACGCATTTGCATGAACATTTCGAAAAACACCGAGTTCTTCTGGCACTCTCCGTAGATTATGTTCAGTGTTGAATGATATGATATTAAAATATATGTGTTCAGTTGATTTGAATATCATGATTCTTGTACATGCATCTTTACATATTAATGAAGCACATATTGTGTTCGTAATGAATAAGGCAGTGTAATGTGCAATTATCATAACAAGACAGTTTCATTGTTACAGAATCTCCTAGATCTTATCATAAAATGCTATGTCGACTGCAATAAAAGTAATTTTCAAAAAAATTTAAACAAATGAAGGTTGCTTGGAATCTTAAGGATTTTTCGGTATTTCCCCAAAAGTTCAAGGATACTAGATTAATAATGTTTGAAATATATAAGGAAAGAATAACCATTTGCACAAGTAATTACTGTTTTTATTAAACAATTACTAAACTAACATTTCAGTATGTATAAGATACTTTGAAACACCAGTTACAAGTAAAATAATATTTTCTTCGGCGAGTATCTTTTTAAAGATACTTCTTGTTTCATTTTAAATTGAATTATTCCTGTTATGAAATTTGGTAAAATACGGGTTATGGGTGAACACTGGAAAAATAAAATTGTCTTGTTTTACAACACCACCCTTATAATACTGTGGTATAAACCATGTAGATTCGAAAATACTTTAAGAACATTTGCTTCAAATTTAAAGTAATCTTAGAATATGACAACAGAAACCTTTTAAGTGAAACTTATTGTGGGTCATCTTATCCTAACTTATTTTGATTTATCTGCCTCTAACATTCGAATTATTTCCCTATATGAAGTCTTTTCAGTCAAGTTCTAAAGTAGCCTAACAAATCTGATTTCTTCTTTTAATTGGTTGTAAGGCATTGTATAGAACATTTGATACCTTTTTCATTTGCAAGAAAGAAATAATATTTAAAAAAAATCTCAATGAAAAGGTGCAAACGTATAAGTCAATAAGTAAAAGATGTAAACCTATCACTTGTTGCTTTTATTAATTTCTTTCAAAAGTGCTCATTTTTTTATGAACAATAGAAGAAATAAGGCTCTGCATACCTTATTTCCAAATAATTTGACCTTGAAGTAAGGTAAAAATACTAAACCTCGTGTTCCTCATGGACTATCTACATATAGTCTCTGAACATATTTCCATAACTATATTCTAAAATCATGTGCATGTAGAAGATGTTCTGTGAAATCGTTTTAATTCTGACTAATATGTGTCTTAACGATAGTATAAATGACAATGACGGAAACAAGA